TCAGAAAGCAGGAATCTATCAACCATAAAACAAGCAGCTCTGGTATAGCGAAAAGCCTTCCTATCAGATTCTTGATAATTTGGGACCAGGTTTAAGATGTATAAGTATTCAGATCTACTCTAAATTTTCAAGGTAAGTAGAAATCCTGATCACCTCTAAAATTATTTTTCATTACAGTTCCCAAGATGTACAAAACATTTCTTTTAAACTTTATAAAATATTTACATGTTGCAAAATGAGTTGTATGCTTCAAGAGCAATAATTAGGTCAGTGTTATGTGAATTCTTCTAGCTTCCTGAAATTACATTATAATTTCAGAGTCTTCATCAGTCATGCTACGGGCTGTTGTTTTCGTGACTATTTATTAGCTTGGAGATGATACAGTGTAACATCTGTTTTTAAAATTTCCCGCTTTCCATAAAATAATGCAGTATTTCCACCACAAATAAGACTGACATAATCTGAGGTTTTTTTAAAATTTTTAAACTGTTTTAGCTTTTAAATTGTTTCATAAAGTTTTATTTCAGTGACTATACACCATGACAATATAAACAAATTAACTACTTTCTCATTTATCCTTAACCAATTTAAAACTCAGAGGACTTTAATATGCCACCTAGATTTTAATGTTTATATGTAATTTTTATAGATGGGTTGGGGAGAGGAGCACCACTGCTAAAATCTCCAAATTTAATTACCATTTTGATTGTCCTTTTGCAATCGCAAGGTGTACTTAGAAATAGACATGCATGAAAATTATGTAGCTACAAGTAGAAAATGAGAATAATTAATTTTCAGCTTCAGGTAAAATGGCATCAATCTCACAGGCTTGATAATACAAAACTTTTCACTGAACAATTGTGTGCTACAATGCTCTACTCTTTCACAAATCATTTTCCCATACCGTATCTGCCTATGAGCAACAGAAAAAAAATGATAGATAACTATTAGGAGCACTTATGTTAAGATTCTTTTACTTCACTCATGATAGATCTCCTTGGGAAAAAAAAATGTAGAGAGACTAGAAAGCTCTACAAATATTAATATCAATTTTAGCATTTGTATTTTGGTATCTGATGTTATTTTCAATGACACTTTTTTCATTGCTTCAAAAATATTGAAAAATATTTCTACAAATATATTTTTAAATATCTTTAATGTGGACTAAACGAACCTGCATGATCCTTCTTTGTCTACCTTTCCGTTCACTTTTCTAGCCACTCTTCTCCACTTTCCCTTTTGCTTTAACTTCCTGCAGTAGTATGAGGCCTTTGAGTATTTTATTCCCTCTGTCTACAAGATTTTCCTCTTCCACTCCTCACTCCCCTATGTCACTTAAATAATTTCAGATATTATCTTAAGTATTACTTACTTAAGAAAAGCTCCCTAAATCCCTGTTTTAAACTGCTATTGTTTTCTGCAGTGTTCATCACCATGATGACTACTTAACAAAAGGGTCACAAATTAGTAGCCTACTGGCTATAAGCTATATTTAATTGAAGGCTTACAGTTTCAAAAATCTAAGCCACTGTTTACAATGGAAAGATTACACATAAATATTACAGTAACGCTATTTAATTTATGCTCACCCTTAGACAAGAATATAAAACTAATGACTGAAAACCCAGATTGTTTCTCATTTATATACTTAAAAAATACTTTAAAAACTTTGGATAGAAATGTAGTGTACCTCAATTTACTTGCCAGTACTTTTGTTTAATTAACGTAAGTACTGAATAATGGAAAAGTTTTGGTAGTCAACTCTCCATTCATCTAATGGTGGTATCGAACCATAGCCCTGCTATCTGCTTTCTTTGCTTTGGTTAAGCATTTCATAAAAATATATCTGCTGCTTAGATGAGTATAAACATTTGTTTTAGCTAAAACTTCACAATTATACTATAACTCTGACTACAGTAAGTTTTACTTCAAGTAAACTCAAAGCCTTATTAAGAGATCAAATAATCCTCTCAAGTTCTATAGCAATAGGATATAAGTGTGAAAATAAATTAAGAGGTCACCAGATTCTTGTCCTACTTACCCAAATACATGCAGAAAACAGTCAGTCTAAACATATGAAAAACTTTAAATACAAAATTTTCTTATACAGTCAGCTCTCTATATCCATGAGTTCTGCATGACATATTTGGGGAATAAAAATAGATGTCTGTGTCTACTGAGCATGTTTTTTTCTTGTCATTATTCCCTAAACAATACAGTATAACAAGTATTCACATAGCATTTACATTATATTAGGCATTAAAAGTTATTGTGAGATGACTTAAGGTATAAAGGTGGATGTGCATAGGTCATGTGCAAAGGGACTTGACCATTTGTGGATTATGGTATCTGTAGGGAGTCCTGAAAGCAATCCTGCATGGATACTGGGGGATGATTGTACTTGTATTTCACTGTATATCTTGCTATAAAATGAAAATAGTATTATTCATCTATACTTTTAACAGATAGAATGCTCATCAGTTGGAAATATCAAATTTGTGCCTCTGTGAACATTTGAAATCATTTATTTGAAGTTTATACTATTACTAATAAATACTATTTTGTTCAGCAATGAGGTGGTAATATAAACAGGAAGGAAGAAGACATAGATAAGCAGGCAGTTTGGAAAATATGTGGAAAATGTCATTCCTGTTCATCCCGTTAAGTGCTTTAATAGGACCTATCATCAATGCACTGAGATGCTAGGAGCAGGGATGTTAGGACTGAATTTAAGACTTAATAGAAGATGAAATATCCTGGATCTTTGCATGTAGGATAACCTATCTATAAATGAAACAAATTAATTATTTCATGGAGAGATGAATTTTAAGTAAGAGAAATTAAGCAAAGAAATCCAATTGGAACAGCTGACACTTCATCAACTAAATAGATTTCATTCCTATTTGAATAGCATGCTCTGAACAAAATAAGTGCTTAAAAAGGTTTGACAGATGTTATGATACAGTGAATGGAAAGGATAAAGTTACCAGAATTTCATTTTTTAAGGCCTAAAACAAGCAAGGTAACATCTCTTGAATAATCATTAGTAAGAATGTTGTATAAATCCTTTGTTTTGAATTAATCGAGAAACTTTATACTAATCTTGTACCATCTGTAAAGTAAACCCAAAGCAGGTAATTTTAAAGACATAATTTTTCCTTTGGCATTAAGATAGAAATATGTCAGTCAACTGTAAAATACACAGTTGCATGTGTTTTTTAATAGACAAGCAGAGTTGCCACCAATCTGCCTAAAAAATATGAAAACAGACTGCATCACCAGTGTTTAACAGGGGCATTATGTATCAATATGAAAGGAAATAAATTTGCTTGATTTGGAAATGCACAATCAGCATTCCTAATATGTATATTTTTGGACTGACCAGAAAATTTATTTTATACCTAATCAATCATCCTATGTTTACTTTGGCAAGCTGGAAATGACAAGATCATCTGCAAAATACAGACAGTACTCCCAGTTTGCTAAACTAGTTTATTTATTACAGTTTAAAATAAAAAATGGATAACATGATTTTCACAAAGAAGCTCCCAGGAAAAAAATGACTGAAACTATTTATTCATTTAAGAAATAACTCGGCTGGGCACGGTGGCTCACGCCTGTAATCCCAGCACTTTGGGAGGCCGAGGTGGGTGGATCATGAGGTCAAGAGATCGAGGCCATTCTGGTCAACATGGTGAAACCCCGTCTCTACTGAAAATACAAAAATTAGCTTGGCCATGGTGGTGCGTGCCTGTAATACCAGCTACTCGGGAGGCTGAGGCAGGAGAATTGCTTGAACCCCAGGAGGCGGAGGTTGCGGTGAGCCGAGATCGCACCATTGCACTCCAGCCTGGGTAACAAGAGCGAAACTCCGTCTCAAAAAAAAAAAAAAAAAAAAAGAAAGAAAGAACTCACTTTAACTAAAACTTGGTAAGTCAGAAAGCTGATGATAATATTTTTAATTTTGAAGGACGGGGGAAGAAAAAGTTTTAAATAAATTCAAGTAATTTTTCTTATTCTTTTCTCACAAATGATAAAGATTTTCAACAGAAAGATGGTAAAATACCAAGTACAGCTCATCCATTAAACATAGAAATAGGGACCAGCAGTAGGTTTCTATTTTTCTTGAGAGTAATTAATAAAGATAAAATCTTAAAGGATGTTCTTTTTGTTTTTTATTTGGTTTTCAGGCAAATTTGATTCTGGGATCATTTTAAGTGTGCTTATTATCAGCAGCAACTTGGGCCTGCCTGAAATATGGAGAACAGCAGAAGGGATGCAGTCAATAGAGTACTGTGAATTTTTTCACCTAATAAAATTAAGTTTCTGCAAAAATACAGATTTAGTTACATCCTAGGTAACAACATTAATTTCATCCTTTTAACCATAGCATCAAAGCTTAGACTACAGTTGTTATCCATATTTCTACATTTAAGCATTCAACTCCCAGATTCACAAACTCCTTACTTATGAATACTCTATATAGCTTAACATACTCTCCTGCATTGCATGACATAGAATTTCCAGGGAGTTTGATTTGACCTCCCAAGATGACATTATTTCCTTTTGTCAAGCTGTCAAATTGTTAGCAAGCAGCTGTGGCTAGGAGGGAGCAAAGTTTTATGTGAATTTTATCTTTGTATAAACATAGATTCTTAAACATTTCCCAAGTGGCCTTCATTTACTATCTATTGATAAAGATCAACAGCCCCAGTCCTAAGCAAAAGACCAAATATGATATTGCCCCCCACTTCCTGGCCTTTTACCCATTTGGTAGCATTACCAAGATGGAAGTAAATCACAGTGAGCTGGTACGAACCAGCTTTGTATTTATAATGCTGGGTCAGCAAAGGAGGCAGTATATGAGAGAGAGAATCCAGAGAGGATGATGAGGCCCAAACGGAAGAGATGCTGAAGGCCTAGATAGCCAATGGCTTAAGAATATGTCATTATTTCATAGTCAAATTTCATGTAATGATTCCATTTATTTAGTTCTGTACCTGGTAAATCGGAGAAGAGAAGAATGCACTCATTAAAGCCATTAGCCAAAAGCCGGTCCCGCAGCTGCTGAAGAATTGCTACTCCAATACAGAATGGGAAAGAGGAATTCCCAAGTAGTAAGGTATCCCAGAGGTGGAAAATTTTGTGTAGTGGAAATACATCTGTAAAATGACAAAAATACAAATAAATTAAAATAAAAAACCAAAATAATAACAATTAAAACAATAACAATCTACTTTATTGGTTCTATAATTATTATCTATGGTCAAAACTATTATTTAAGAGCTAATACTACCAAACTCTTTTCATGAAATGTTTGTCTCTGAAAATTTATAGCTTCCTAAGGCATCTTTAAAAACTGATAATCAGACAGCGCAAACATAACATTTTTAACCCTATTAACCAAACTCTGAAAATTTATAGCTTCCTAAGGGATCTTAAAAAACTGATAATCAGACAGCCTAAACATAATATTTTTAACCCTATTAACCATAATATTGCTTCCCAGAACTTTCCAGCTGTATTATTCTCACAAATTTATTTATCTAGATGAACTTTAGTATTGCTTTAGGTACAGTAAAATGACATCTCTATTATACTCTCTAAACAACCGTTTTAATAAATTCCCACAAAAATCCTATGAGCAACTTTCTATTTTTTATAACTTCCTTTTTCTCATTAACAATTCTATTGATATCTTCCAGGCCAGTGCATAAAGATCTACTTCAAATATTATTCCAGTTACCATGCAAATCATATTTTATAGGTAAGGATGTCCACTTTATTAATATTTGTAACAAAGTATTACCCATTCACATAATCTGCTTAACTTGTAGAGGAATCCTAGTTTAAAAAATAAAAATTATTGGAGAATCTCTGAAAATTAAGCTGATTTGGTTGTGGTAGTTGCCCTTATAAGCTTAATGTAAATACTATAGTTGATATTTTTTTTTTTCAAAAGGGGGCAGAGTTTGTACGAATATGATAGGTACAATAGGTTTTTATCATACAGAATTCTCATTTTGATATTCAGGGATCAGAGCGATTGAAATTATTTTCTACTCAACTCTATTATGTTAGAAATACATAAAAATACTTTCTAAATGTGCTCAATATTATTGTAACCATAAAATATGGGGAGGCATTGGGTTGTCCTTTCACTAATACAGTATCAAAAAAAAAAAAATTCCGAGGGCAAGTGATACTTACGAGTAAACATGGTGAGAAACCAAGGGATGGCATAGAGCTATGAATGGAAAAAGGGGTACAGAGAATGGATAAAGAGGAAATAAAAGAGATAATTAGAATGATTACCAATAAATCGAATGGTAAAAATAAGTTCTATGTTTTGGTCTACTTTACTGGTTAAAGTAGAAGAGAATGTAGTGTTAAGTTTAGCCTAAAGCTACCTCCTTACATGTTTTAAGTTCGGCCTAGTGATTTCTCCATACATAGTGAACTGTAATCTAACTGAATATGTAAACAGACTGTAACAAATGTTGAAGTGTAACCAATCTAACTGTTTCTGTACCTTGCTTTTGTTTTCTGTATGTCACTTTTATTTTCCTGTCCATAAATCTTCTACCATGTGGCTATAATGGAGTGTTGGAGCCTTTTCTGGCTTGGGGACTGCAGATTTATGAGTTGTTCTTTCCTCAATTAAACTCTGTTAAATTTAATTTGTTGGAGGCTTTTCTTTTAATCTAGGTAATTACAGTTATTACAAATACTCTATTATATAATGATACTATCCATGTTATAAATACAGATGATCCTTTTGCCAAATATTCACAGAGTGTCTTCATTTCACCAAAGGACACACTCAAGATCATGACTAATCCAAACGCAACACTGGCATACTAATTTCAAGGGTATATTTTACTTTTCAGGTTTGTACAGAATATTTCTTACTAGATCAGGGGATACGTAGGTATCTGGTCAAACGGGTGTGTGTGTGTGTGTGTGTGTGTGTGTATGTGTCACAGTGTTTCCAGATGAGATCAGTATTTGAATCAGTAGACTCAGTAAACTGTCCTCCCCAGCATGGGTAGGTATCACCTAATCAATTGAGAGCCTGAACTAAACAAAGGTAGAGGAAGGAGGAATGTGCCTCTTCTTTTGTACCTCACTGCTTGAGCCGGAATGTTTCATCTAATCTTCCCCTGCCTTTAGACTGGGATTTATATCACCAGTCTCCTAGTTCTCAGGCCTTTGGAATCGGAATTACAAAGGCCACTAAACTTTGAATTATATTACTGGCTTTCCTGGGTGTTCAGCTTGCAAATAGCATATTGTGGGATATCTCAGCCTCCATAATTGTGTGACCCTATTACTCACAGTAAATCTCCTTTATCTATATTTATATATCTCCTATTGGTTCTGTGTCTCTAGAGAACACTAATACAGTCCTGATAATTACTGAGGTACTCTTAAATATTTTTAAGAATTAATGAGATAATATTTTTTAAATGTTCAAAATGTCTCAATGAAAGGTGTAATAAAGCATGTGCTTTGGGTTACCACTTAATTAACAGAAAGCTTCATAAGGGACTAAAAGTAATAGATCTAATATTATAATTATTAGTAATAATTTGACAATTTTCCTAAGCTTACTACCTGGAAACATATACACACATACACACATATATAGCTATATATACAGTATATATGTTCTACATAAATATATATACACATACACATTTTCAATAAATATTGAGAGATTTTGGAAGTGACAAATAATCCTTAATTTATACAAGTAGAGCAAAAATCTCCTTTGTCAATAGCAAGTGTCAAAAATCTAATTTACAGAAAAATCTGAAAAAGTGCTAATTTTATTTTACTTTGTGAGTTAATACAGGCTGCTACTAAAGACCTCTCTACTACCTGCAGGGCTAGTTTAAATAGTCTTTCAGCATCTAGCAATTATGAATTTATGCGTAAAGGTGCCTATTGTCTTTGCATTTCACTTGAGTATTTATATGATCAAGATGCCAATTAAGAACTTTATAAGTATATTGTATATTAAAATCTAAGTACTACATATGAAATCAAATAATCTCCACCATATCATTTTTATAGGCTGAAATTTAAATATATTTTTCTAGGTACATTATAAATTAGAAAAGGAAAAAGTACAAAGGTATGTGATTTACTTGTAATGTATAAAGGTTGTAGAAAACAATAAAATATAAATTGTTCATTTTAATTTAAATTTAAAAATAAAGTCAGCAACATTAGTTTCATTGCTATTATTCAACATCTTTTTTAAAGACATGACATCAATATTACTTTATCCTCTTTAGATGAAAGCTAACTGCCATTAAGAATCTTTTTCAAATCATTTCAACAACCAGGTAACAGTGCCTTTTCTCCCACACTAGTCTCTGTAATTAGCTACATCAAGATCTTTGGAAGAATTCTGCTTCTGACCAAGATAAAATAACAGGAACCAGATTTACCTACTGAACTGAAAAACTAAAAATCAGACCAAATATATAAAACAACAATTTGAACATCTAAGATATCATGCAGCAGAGAGTAGTACCTAAGAGAGGAGGAACAAATGAAATGAACCCTAAAGTTGCCCAATTTACTGCATGCAAAGAAGTTACAGGCCACTAACAGGGAGGAAGAACCTGAAAAGAGCTTGATGGTTGTCCTGAGCTGAATATGTAGAGTAGGAAATCTGGGGAGATTAAGGTGGCTGGAATCTCCAGGAGAGTGTCCTGGAAGATTCTGCCAGAGAGAGAGATGCAGAGAAAGCTCCAGAAATCTGCTGAAGTTTCCCTTCAAATCTTTGCTAAGTAGTAAAGAGAGCATATGTGTGTATGTATATATATATGTATATGAGTGTGTGTGTGTGTACACACACACACGCACACACACACACACACACACACACACAAAGATACAAACTAGGGCAGAAACCACCTCAAATGATCAGAGGGAAAAAATGCCAAGCTCACAAAATGCCAATAGTTAATTTTCTCACTAACCAGAATGAAAAAACAAACAAACCACGCCTGTTACAAACAAGGCACTGGGAAGAGTAGTCAGAAGAGTATTGCTTTAGTAATGGAGCAAAATTGTGCTCCAAAATTAAGCTGCTCTGGTCCCACTTAATAAACCTCAAAAGCAAGTTAAGTTACACGGAAACAATGTGATCCTTAAAACAGCAAGCCTTGAAAGGATCAAATTGTTTCCGTGTAACTGAACTGCGCCCAAGATACCACACTCATGGTCACCCCAAACTGCCTCTTTTTTCTACCCATCATTATAGTCACTTAGGTAGAAAAATCTTAGGTACAAAAGTAGGTCTGATAGATATTTTTACAAGGTCTCTTCAGTCTTCTGTTTCTATCCATTTATACTGAACTAAGCTTGTTTTGGTTCTCATTCTTTTTTTCATGGACTACTGCAAATGTTTCACAGTTGTTCAGTTTCTACCTGGTCCAACATTTCCTTCTGCCAAATTCATTTTCCTAAAAACTCAACTGTGATGACATCATTCTCCTGCTCCACCATGTCAATACATTTCCACTGCATACCAAATTAAGTACAATTTTGTACTTATGCATTTAAGGCCACTGTGAATTAGTGAAAAAGCCAAGAAGGACTTGGAGTCAGAAAACATGCCTCTGAGTTTTGACTCTGACAATTATTGGATACCATGCCTTAGTCAAGTCAGTTAACTAACCTCTGTGAATCCCAAATATTCATTTGTCGAACAGGTAAACTAGCATCTGAACTATGTCAGAGAGATGGTGTGATGTTGAAATAATATATGTGAAAATTGTAAACAGTGACAAACTGTAAATTTAAAATAGTATTACTATTAATAGCAGCATAAGAAACAGCATTAGACTAAATTTCTTTGCACCTTACCACTTCCCTACACATGTTCTACTTCCTGCCAAGGCAGATTTCCATCAGTCAAAGCTCTACAAGATTTTTCCAAGCCTGCCTCAAATGCCATTTGTTCTGTGAAAACTTTTTGTATATTTTTATGATACCTATCCCACTATGCTTTGTATCTTATATAATATAGTTGTATCATATACAATTATAGTAATCATTTTTATATTATAATTACCTATCATCAAATACTTGTATTATACTTAATTCTGGGCATATTCATTCACCATTTCATTCATTCATGCTTGCTTTTGTTCATTTATTTAACATGAAATGCTTTGTGCTATATATCATGTGTCTCACTCTAGCGGAAGAGTCAGACATATGAACAAACACCTAAAATGCTTTACTGTTAAATTTAACAATAGAAGTTCTGGTATAAGTTAATGGCAGCAAAGTTACAGGAGCTTATGGCCTTTTCTATCATATTCTCTGCCGGAGAATGATATGACTCTTGTGGGTAAATGTTATTTTACTCATTTATTCATTAATTCAATATTTACTAAGTGCCTAATACATGCCAGATTTGTGTTAGGTGATAGGCTATAGCAGTGAACAAAGTACAGTTCCAAGCTACAGGGAGTTTACAATTTAATAAGGGTAGTAGATATTCATTAAATATTCTCTCAACCCACTCCAATCAAGTTCTTGCTTCCATCTCACCACTGAAACTGTTCTTACCTGGGTCATCAATAATTTCTATGTCATTAAATCTAATGGCCAATTCTCAATTGCAATCTTTCTTTACCAATCAGCAGGATTTGACATAGTTGACTACTACCACTTTTTCACAACAATTTTTTCCCTCCACTTTGCTTCCAAAACACCATACTCACCTAGTTTTCTTATCTTTCTGACTGCTCCTTATGCATCTCTTTTGTTGGTTCCTACTCCTCTCTCTGACTTTTAAACATTGGAGTGTCCCAGGTTGAGTTCTTAGATATGTTCTCTTTTTTACTTTTCTCCAAGTAATAACTGTATAGTTTGAGGACCATCATATTTACAGCTCCATCCCTAGTCCTCTCCCACAAATTCTAAAACTGTATATCCAAATGCCTGTTATCTCCACTTGCATGTCTAACAGATATACATATCCTAAAGTGAGCTCCTGAGACTTCCTCCAAATCTATACTTCCATGTACAGTATTCCAAATCTCAGTTAAAAGCAACTCTATCCTTTCAATTGTTTAGGTACTTGACTCCTCTCTTCCTCACACACTGTGTATTTGTCACCAGTAGTCTTGCTGGCTCTACCTTAAATATATACACAGCATATGAAAACTTCCCACTATCTCCACAGCTGATATCTTGATTCAAGCCAATATTATCTGT